GTTTTCATCAACCAGTCAAAATTTACAGCAGGGCATGCAAATTCTGTCCGTTTTTGGCCAGACAGAAACTGCACACAGGCTGAATGTAAATATAAGTCTCTGTAAATCCACTCGCTGACAGCAGGTGGCGCTTATGGAAAAGCAGAATTACAGCTGTTTCTCGTAACCTCAAAGCAGTATTGCTGATTAAGAAAACTTCCTTTAGGTATTACATTGAGCGAAGATGAAAACAAAATGCCATCGAATCGTTTCTGAAGACAGTCAGAACCTTCAGAGGTACATTCATATAATTAATTAATTAATCTATTCATTTGTATAATTCCCTTGGCACTCTTTTAAAACCTCCCAGCTTCTCCAAAACTACTCTGCGTGCTGTGCGCACGTGAGACTGTCACTTAAAACTGTGCTTTATGCTGGATAGTATTAATTCATCCTCAATTGTTCAAATCGCGGTAATCAAATATGGTTATTAGGGATGCACCGATACCACTTTTTCCAGTACTCGCCCGATACCGATACTTTTATTTTTGGTACTTGCCGATACTTACATTGAGCGAAGATGAAAACAAAATGCCATCGAATCGTTTCTGAAGACAGTCAGAACCTTCAGAGGTACATTCATATAATTAATTCATTAATATATTCATTTGTATAATTCTTTTAAAACCTCTCAGCTTTTCCGCCCTGTTTTCACTCAAAACGAAACTACTCTGCATGCTGTGCGCACGTGAGACTGTGAAAACGGTGCTTTATGCTGGACAGTATTTATTTATCGCGAGTTGTTCAAATCACGGTAATCTAATACGGTTTTAATTATAATTAAAACATGAAACGGTAATACTAACCGTGGGGAATTTTATCATGATTTATCGTCAAACTGGTAATCGTTACATCCCTAGCCCTGAATAAATTGGAGTATTACTATAAATAATTCTACATGATAAAAAGAAGGAACGGTATCGGTGATCGGATCGGCAGATACTGCTTTCTGGGATCGACGATCAGTGATCGGCCTCAAAAATCCTGATCGGAGCACCCCTATTTATTTCACATTAAACCTAATAGAAAAGAGGAAGGGATGATCACGGTGACGTTTGAATGGAGCGATCTGTCACGCCACAGCAGAGAGCATCAAAACGGCATTTATTGTTTGAATTTCCTGAAAAAAACTGACATAATTTGAAAGATTAGACTTTCAATGAAGTTCCACTCATGCAGTGGTTAATACAATGCTGTATTTGTTCGCAGTACCGCAGGTACGAATATGTGAACCATTACACCCCTAGTAATTACGTGCATTTAAAGTGAAAAAACAAACAAACATCTAACATGCACACAAACCTCTTCAAGACGTTTTGGCAGATAGAGGATGGATCCGTCAAAAGCCACTACCTCTCCTGTAGTAGGCCGATGCTCCTTCATCATACCAAAGCGCATACCGAGAGACTCAACGTTCGGCCTGAAATTCAACAACTGCCATTAATCAGGTTTTCTCTAAAAAAAGATGCAGCTAATCGTAATTATTCAATCAATACTGGTTACTACTGTATATAAGGCATGATCTACTTTAGTTTGACAGGCAGAGGCATGTTCCCATTAAATAATGCATACGAAAGTGCACTAACACTAATTTGTCTTCATACTTTGCAGGCCATTATTGATCATCTTGAACAATCAATATTAGACAGCATTAGCACTGAACAATGCATGAGGTAATGTCTGAAGTTTATGCTTGTTTCCATTCTTCCATCTTCTCAACTCTTGCACGCTCTACTATAATTCTATTTTATCTACTCGTTTTCTTTTTTATTTAGAAAAAGAAAAAGAAAAAACACTTGACCCTCTTAACACTTGCACTCTCTATTTCTATTCTAACTACTTGTTTTCTTTCAAAAGAAAAACAAAAAAGAGCCTAACACTTGCATTCTCTATTCTTTTGACTTGTTTAAAAAATCATAAGTGCCCTACTGTAACCGTGATGTTAACTTGTTTAAAATAATCTAGCACAATAAAAACACATCTGGTCATACAGTATACAGTAAATTCAATACAGCAGCCACCAAAGACTTAAAAACTATATTTTTAAACTATATTTTGGCAAATGTGCCCAAATCCGATTTTTTTGCTCACACGTGACTCGGATCTGTTTTTGTCATGACAGTGTGAACAGCACAAACCGCATGGAATCTGATCTTTTCAATTCCGATTTGTGCCACTTCCATATGTGGTACTAAATCCGATCCATGTCAGATGTTTTGCAATGTGACCGCAGTGTGAACAGTCATGTCGGATTTCATGCGACTTTTACGTCACTCTAGATCGACATTCGTCATAATTCCGCACTGACGGGAGACACTTCAGAGATTTTTTACATACCCAAAGTTATCAAGACGGTAGCGAAAGGTAATCAGTGGAAGTGTAATGTGTCAGAACTCATAAGAATTACAGTGACAACCAGTGTTAATTTCGTCGACGAATAATTTTCGTCAACGACATTTTTTTCATCGATGAAAACGAGAACTGGCGGGACATAAGCTAACATACACTTGCTGCACATCGCATAAAACGTTCAAAAATTTCAATATGTGGGAGTAAGAGAAGAGCAGACATTTAGATAAATCTGACGACGCAAGAGAGAACTCAATTCTGTCCAGTTTTTTGAGCGCAGACACTGAAGCATACACACACAGATAGCGCATCTCACAGCGCGCGAGTACTCTCTCGAGTCGCATGAACGGAGAATTACACACAAAATGATGTTGAATTGTCCGTTTTGACGAGTATTCACGGTAACAGTTGATTACGTCTTAAGTGAACGTAAACAGCAGGGAGAACATGTATCAGTACATTGCATCCAGTGCAGCTGTGCATTTGGATTTAAAGGGACAGCAGCCTAATTTAGTTGCTATTGTCCAAGTCATTGATGTTAATCAAGCAACAACAGAAAGACAGAAAATCACACACTGCTCTTGACTGAAAACTTTAGTAGCCCTAAAGATTAATCTAAATTTATTTATAGAAATAAATATGTCTGCTTGAAAGAATGAAGAATATGG